CAACCTTCATTTAAAGTTTGCGTTTCTGTTGCCGTTCTGGATGTTCTGAAGTTCACGTGTAAACAATCAAATCTACAGCTGATTTCAGGCTCTGGAAACCATCATATGTATTAATCTGTGTTAAATCTGTTCTTCAGGTGTGTTTGGTGCTGAAACAAATGAAATGCAGTCAGTGCCAGTGATGGAGGGAGATTCTGTCACTTTATACATTGATGTTCCTGAAATACAGAAAAACAAAAGTATGCTGTGGAAATATGGAGCTGAAAAGTACACTATAGCTGAAATCAATAGAAAGTATGAATTGTTCTTCACATATGACGGTACTGATGGGAGATTCAAAGACAGACTGAAGCTGGACAAACAAACTGGATCTCTGACCATCACAAACATCACATCTCAACATGCTGGAGTTTATCAACTAGAGATAACTGAAGCGAGAACAACATCAAAATCATTCAATGTTTCTGTCTATGGTGAGTAGAGATCATTTATTATATCTTTCAACATATTCTTGTTTTATTTTATTGGAACAATTTACATTTTAAAGTGATTTAAGATTTTGGTACAGATGTCAAACACACTCACAACTGTCATTGTGTAACATACTCTACATAGAAGCAAGCTTGATGAACCCAAGTGCAGTTTATTGACATGAAAACAAATACAAATGTAGAAGTGGAAAACTAAACATAAAACATGACCTGACTCGAAAATATCCATAAACATAGACTTAAGCATAAACATGAGCATTGACATGAACTTGATCTAGATATGGACTCATCAAACAGTAGGTTACTTCAACAATACTTAGACGAGACAACAGAAACATAAGTGCTAGAGAGAGAGAGAGAGACTAATGACTAACAAGGAACACCAGTGAACAATCAAACAAGGAACCAATCAGAACATGACACATACACGGGGGAGCACATGGCAGGTCAACATGAGGTACAAGGAAATACATGACAGGAAACATGAAGACAATTACAGAGTAAAAGATGTACAAAAAAAATGTGAACCAAAACCCAAACCAACATGACACATTAGTACAGAGTATTACATTACAATTAATTACTGTAGTCATCCATTGACTGTAAAATAAATGCATGCTGGATAATTTTCTTACAAATGACCATCAACAACAGAATGATGCTAACATCACAGTCATTCACTGCTCTTGGTTCAATGTGAATTCACATTATAAAGTTGTCTTTAACTATGAAGCTGTAAGAAATGTAATCGTTTACTACTGTAATTATTCTGAAGTCACCATAATGGTGATTAGTGTTGGATATTGGGCCTTGTATGTTCATATTCAAATTTCTGATCTAGCCAAGTCAGAAGTGTGGCAAAGAGTGCAGACAGATACAAGAGAAGTCCTACTGTGAAAATAATACAAAGGTTTAAACTAGCATCATGTCATCAGTTGCACAAGTGAATCACTGAGGCATATAAGCCACAGTGTTTACTGCACATTGTGTTTTTGCAGCAGCAATGTCTAGCACGGATATGAAAACTGTTAAAGGAATATAAGCATTTGTGCTTTAAATGGGGTTCATCATATTTAGCAGTATACGTCTAATGAAGCATTCATTTATTTCCAAGAGCAATGTTTTCATTAGCTATGCTAAATGTGTGTGGTTGATTCAGATGCATGTCGGAGTCACACCTAAATAAACTATGAATACAGTTAAACTAAGCGTCATGTTTATAGTCTGTTTATAGAGTGATTTACTAAGCATAAGCTGGTGTCACGGAATGCCAGGAGGAAACAAGGTAAGTTCCATGTGCAGTTTATTGAAAATAATAACAGGACAAAACAGAACAAAACGTTGCAAAAGGTAATCCAAAACCTGACACCGACAACACCAACTAAGAAGACGATACAATCCAGACGCAAATGACAGACAGAGAAGGCATGATATATATAGCTGGGTTAATGATGAACAGGTGTTACCGATGAAACCAGGATTAGTGAGCAGGGGACTATGGGAAATGGAGTTTAACACAAACAACGAAAACAAAAGAGCGCCCTCAAGTGACCAGTCCAGGTCACCACAACAAACACTGTGACATTACCCCCCCTCTACGGAGCGGATACCAGACGCTCCACCAGACACACAAAAGTTCAGGAGGGAGGTGGAATAGAGGCGGGCCAGGGGGAGGGATGGCGGGCCAGGACCAACCAACGGAAGAGGACCAGGGAACAGAGCTAGACCAAGGCATGAGCACAGAACCGGCAGGGTGAAAGGCCAAGGCGGGACCGGCAGGATGGACCAGCAAGACCCCAACCACGCAGGACTCCCAGCAGATGGCCAGGACGGAGCCGGAGGAATGAGCCAGTGAGGCTCCTGCCACACCAGAACCCAGGCGGGCAACCAGAACAGAGCCAGAATCCTGTCAGGCAACATTGGTGGGACCGAAATCCCTCTCAG